TTTACTCTCTAATCTACAAAGGGCAGTGCCACAGAACGTTAATACACACCTCCCCATAAGCTACAAGCATCTCTGAAAGCGATGTCGAAAATGCTCAAACGTTGGCGCGGGGCACACTCAATGAGTTTTTACGAAAGTTTTAGTGTTCAACTGGTCAAAGCTGGTGCCATAAGCAGGTGTCTCCCCACAGGGGCCCAAGATTATAGCTCCATCGAATGCAGCAAATTGACTTTGGAGAGCAAAAATAAAAGAAAAACGAGCGACGGTCGCAGCAGCTTCCCAAATATTGTGAATGCCGAGCAGTGGGGTGTAGCTGTCAGCGTTCGTGTCACAGATGAAAAAACCAAAAAAAAAAAACCCGAACCTTCAACCAAACCACACAGACGGGGAGATACGTCAGTGTTTTGTTGTTACGTTTACGCCGTACATTACGCATTCTTTGAAAGCCACTTAGAAAAATATACTAGTGTGTGCGCCAGCTATCGTCACTAGCAAATGCGAAATATATGGCGTGGCTCAAACTGACTGAGCGAGTTGCAGGCAGCCTTTGAAGGCCCGCCTACATTCTGCGTTTTATTGTGTGTATCTGTACTGAGGCTTCCATAGCAAGGCAGTTTCGCAAAACGGAATGATGGACGCTGTGGCGCGTAAAGCTTTCGATTGTCACTGGCGGTTGCCTTTCAGTTCAATGTACTTCGTACATTCTACTTTGAAGCGACAGATGAAATTCGATTCTTGCATTACCGGTACGCACACATTTCAATGATTGTATGGCAAACTGGAGATAAAGGAATTACTTACTTGAAATGTTTTCCTTCTTGTGTAAGTGACGCGGAGAACAATAAGAAATCTGGTAACTTTATTTTGCGAAGAAGAATCGCAAAGTTCGCAACTCTTCTGGTACCGACCTCGTCCCTTCGCAAACAGCTGCAGCGAAAACGAAAGAAGTAGGACTGTTACGTAGCTGAAATGAATGCATGAAAATCGGCAGAATAGCGTGGTCACATTAGACCCCAATAACGTCTATTGCATTTCGGAGGAGTTCCACGAGTTGGGCGTGATTCCTTCATTGTTATGTAACGAGGTAATTTCCACGCCACTTGACGTAGCCTGTCAATGGGCGGTCAGCAAACAATGCGCACGATTTCAGCGTGCCGTGAAACAGCGAAAAAACTGGAAACGCGTATCTCTCTGTCTTTCGTGAAGGACGTAGCGAATGAAAGAAAATCGGTGTGTAACTGTGTTTAGTGCTTACCAAACGAGACAATTCGCCCGAATTCGCGAACAATCTGAACGCTTTGTAGGAGCACCAGCGAGGGCGCTGTTGGGACATCGTTTTTTTTTCCGTTCCAGAGGCCAAATACGAGTGTGCCATATGCACACACAGACACACAAAAAACATAATGAATCAAATGTACAAGTAGACAAGAGTAAAATAAATCAAAGTAGAAGTAGAAGAGAAGACAAGAGAACAGCGTGAGTATGCTGTCTATCCTTCGATTCCTATCTTTGTTCATTTTACTGTGAGTTGCGCAAAACAATCAAAACGCAGTGGTGTGCCAACACGCGTAAATCACACCTCATGTAAAAATATTGAAGGACTGATCAGTCTAGAATACGGACACCTCTATTGCTCGACCAGGTTTCACATCGGGATAAGACTATAAAACATTTACTTCATTACACCTCATTCCCAGTTATATAGAACTTTCTCCCATTTTGATACGATTTATGAAACCGATTTATTTTCAGTTGCGATTCGTATACAACCATCCAAAAGGGAATATTACGCTAGTGTTTTCTAGCAATTGTCACATAATATAGGTTATTGCACGAATTCTTGACCGTAAGTTCCGCTTAAAGCCTCCTTCCACGCCAAAATTTTCCAAGTTGTTTACGAACCATCTTCAAGGTCCATCTTCAAGCTGATGATGCCGCAATCAGCTGTCATATAAATAACGCCAATGATACAAGGAAATGACAAGGTATTTTTGACTATTATGTTCATGCATGAATCACTGCAATTATCCCTTCTTTTTGCTCCCTGGGATTTGTAACTATCCTTCAAATACTTCGCCACGTAGACTAATTACATGTTCATTTCAAAGAAGGAAGTTAAAAACATGTCTTACACCGGTGCGCGAAGCTTAGCACAGTTAATAACCAAATGATTCTTCTTCTTTTCCTCCTCCTCTCATGGCTCATACCGAATGCTGGGGATTGGCCGAGTGGTAGGCGAATTTTTTAGGATTTGTGAGGATTATGATAATGGTGTTGATATATTTTCCTTGACGGTGTTTCTTGCTTTTCTTTTTTTTATGGGGGCGGAGTGAAAGGCCAATGTAGACATTGGAAAACTTGAAGGCGCTTGATGAAAGCTTCATGGTTTCTTCAGCGTTTGGCGCAGACGTCTGTAAGACGATAAAAAGTTTTTTTCTCAGTAGATTATTCTGATCGCAACCGAAAGCTTTCCTTACCCAACGTGGTTTTTTTGTTGCCTTTGAGATCGCAGAAAAATACATGTTTTTCGCTTCTCACGTGGTATTGAAGCGCCTTCGAGATCGCAAGAACGGGATACTTTTTGCTCCTGACGTAGTATTGCGGTGCCTCCGTGATCGTCACACCACTCTGATTGACCGAAGGACACGTTCATGTGATTACGTACCATGTGATGAGTCTGATAGCATACCATGTGATGTCACGAATGTGATAGCACTACAATCAAGGCCCAGGGATTGTCAACCTGACTAGGCCCGCAGTAGATGAAAAGTCTATCTCACGTTTGCTGTTGCCACGTTGTACAAACTTCATCTGATCTGCCCACCTAACTATGTATCTCCTTCGAGCGTTTGCCACCTCTTACAGTCTAGTTCGTTACCCTTAGCAACCAGAGCTACCCTGCCTATACGCGCAACGTGTCCGGACCATGTCGACTTCTTGATTTCAACTATGATATCCTTAACACCCGCTTGTTCCTTGACCCACTCTACTTTCTTTGTCTCTCCCCGCATTTGTGGTTCGGTGTCCGCTTCCAGTGAGACAGGTGGAGAGTTCAATACCCACAACCAACCGGCAAGCCACAAGTTTTTTTCTGAAGAATACAGGAGTACACCGACCTGGCGCTTGGTTGTTCTTCGCTAATTATCCCGAAACGTCGCTTTATAACGTTTTGTAAAGGCACTTGGGGCAGAACTTATCCCACCATAGCAGTGGTCATCGGTGAAATAGTCGAGCATCCGCCGCTGCTTTGTGATGTTGAGAAATGGAGCGCCTGTGAATAATGACTCCACAAAACGTCGCAAGCCGTGATGCTATCACATGGTTTTTTTTTGTTGTTGTTGTAGCAATCATGCCGACAGCGTCGACGCTGACGGGCATTTTTAGCGTTTCGTGAGGCACCTGAGATTTTTGCCTTGAAACAGCCATGTTCAAGACAATTTGAATAGCAACGCTGCACCATCGTAGAAAGTTCCTAGAGTTTACGAATAGCCGCATTATCACAAGCTTTAATTTGTATCTTTATGCAATTGCACTTGCGTCCAGGCTACCTAATACCGGCGAAACTTAAATCATAATGCAGGCCAGACAGAGTTTGTCAATAAGATCGACTTGAATCACGGCTACTAATCACAAAGCGTTAGCGACATTGAAGTGACCACCATCTAGTTTTCATTGACACTGGTCTAGGAACTGCCACCTCTTAGGTCATACTTTGAATCTCACATGTAATGATTTGAATTCCGAGATGCTTTTCTCATTGTATATTCATAGTAAGTTATGCGATGGTGACCACTAGACTAAGTTAATTCATACAGGTGATGCTTTAGCGTCACCAATGCTGTTCAAGTTTTGGTAGTGCTTCAAATCACTATCGATGAACTCTGACGCGCATACCAGTTTCGTTAAAAACTAACTTCTTGTTAAATGCATTCGATGCAACAAGATACATGTATCAGGCATTTTCGACAGGATACAAGGCATGGTTCTGATTCACTATGTCGTTGCTGCTTTCATTTTAAGTAACAGTTCTCAGACTTAACATGGTAGTCAGACATTTAATGTTCGTACATTAGGCAGGTGTATCGGCTTTTAATCAGTATAATTGTCTGCATCGTAATTTTTGAACACTCATGAGCAGTAAAAATAGCTATCGTTATTTCCTCTAGCACCAACAAGCGTGAGTAGCTCCCTACTCAATTCGTCGGAACCGCGTATTACACAGCCCGCCTAAAAAACCTGCGGCGTCCATCTTAATCTTCATACGTACTCGTACTTCAAACCTTAGTGCTATTTACGTTTCTAAAACACTGAATTACACGGTAGTATTATGTGCTTGCCTCAAGTAATGTCACGTCACAACAAAAGTCTGCAAAGGGTGTTGTAGAGCACACAATTTCAAATGTGATGTTTCACCAGAGTAGCATATACATCGACTTACGCATTGACATTGAAATGCTGAACTCGCTAGGGCTACAAGACTGTTATAGTCTAAATAGCTACACGGTTTGTATTACGCCGTTTCGACAATCAACGCTACAACTGGCCATTCATTTTCAGGTATGGTGGTATCAAGTATATACGCTATCTTTGCCGCTTAAACTAAGCTTCCTCACTGAAACCTGAGAACCCAGACACATAACTCTAAATCTTCACAGTTATGAAAAGTGCATTATAAGTTTAAGTCACTTCTATTCTTCATAAAGATGGAAGCAAAAAGAGATAAAAATTCTAGAACGCGGGTTGTCACTGGGGCCATTGTATTAACTAGCGGACTAGTCTTCAAGGTTACAGCACCCAAGAAGACAAACCTACGTCTCAAACCTTCAAATCCAGTGGCAGCGCGTGTTCTTATATTCTCATCTCTTCCGCTGAGAATCTCTGTATTTATGACCTATACACAAACAGAGGCGCAATGCTGCTTGAAGAAGAAGCACACACACAAAAAAAACGAGCTTCAAACGCTTGCGAAAGTCGCATCATTTTATTGTTTGAGTGGAGACGTGATTTCCTGAGTCGGATTCATTGCAAAAGCGCTTAGCCTTGCGCATTTTCATCATAGGACTGTCGACCGAACAGCCGAACGCCTCGTCGAAGCCAGCGACCATCATAATGGCTGCGTTACAGCGCACGTGAGGCTTAGTGTTGAGCTCGGAACCCAGAGGATGAGCGTCGCCGTTGTAGGCGCACCACTTGAAGCAGGAGCCGATGTAAAACAGCTGTTCAGGGGTAAACCCCGCAGTGCCGTTTGCACCGTTCTTGGTGGCCCCGATGCTGTTGGCGAATGAAGACTGGGCAGTCTGCAGCCCGGCGATGTCCGCAAAGCCTTCGGGTGCCGAGTACTCCGCTGTGTTGGCTGTGCCCCCGGCCTCCTCCACGACCTTGGAGAAGCACTCGTGCTTCTTATAGCGTGTCGCGCTCACGACCACGTCGGTCACGGCGGACACGCCCAGCGTGAAGTCACCGAACACAGCGTGCCACAGTTCGTGCGTCAAGACGTGCCCCAGGGCGCCCCACGTGAATGCCAAGCTCGCCTCGATGTAGAACGGCTCGAACAAAATGGCAGGTGGAATGTACAAAGTGCCACGCCACGGAGTGTACACGGCGGTCACTTCGAAAGCCCGCAGACCAGCGCTGTCATTCGCAGGCGGTGGACTGACCTGACCAGAAGCTAGCTCGGCCTTGCGCTTGTCGTTGAACGCTTCGAGGGAAGCCAGGTAGCAGCCGATGAAGGCGGTGTATTTATCCTTGCTGGGAGGGCACAGCATAGACAGCTCGTTCGGGTCGTGGAGATTGTCGGGCCAACCGATGATGGGAACCAGCGAGTCCAGCCTCGCTTTGGAGGCCTTCTGATCTTCGTCCGAGAGCCAAGACAAAGCCGTATTTGTCGCGTCCATCAGGCCATCGTACATTTGTTTTGCGTTAGCCAACTTTTCTATCGTGATGTTTGCGCCGAAGAGAAGTACTGGCCACGCGTACGGGAACAGCCGGTCAATGGCATTGACGCACTGTTTCGTAACAATCTGTGAGGCAGCCGTGTCGTTCGGCGGATTTCCCAAGGTGGATTGCAACAACTTGTAGGAAGTGAAAGGCGCGAGGAGCCGCGCGACATGAAACTTTATGAGGGTGTATAATGTTTCCATGTCCTCCGCTTCGCCCGCCTCTAACAACTCTTCGGTGTGGGCGAACAGTCCTATGTCACTTACATATAAGTCACTATCATCCGTGAGTTGCGCGTCTTGGGGAAGACGCTTGTTAATCGCCGACAGCCACTCCTCAGCCTTTAACTTTGAAGACGGTATCTCTTTCAAATGAATATTCTTCGGCTTCTTCACAGAAGAGGCCGCGAGGCTCCACGTCGTGGTAACACGAACGTCCGTCGTTAAAAGTAGCCCTAGTTTGTGTTCATCTACGTGGCTAGTTGAAATCAAGCCCCAGAAATCTCGGAAGCACTGTGTGAGGGTTTCCGGCGTAAAAAACTTTTCCTTCTGCATTTTCCACAGTGGTACCGTATTGCTGTAATCAAGATGCATGATCACCTTATTCTCCGTTTGCTGTTGCTGCTCCGCGCGGTCGGGGAACCGCGTGATCATAAAGTCTGGGAGAATTCCCAAGTTCCAATCGAGGGATAGGTGGGCCAGCAGTCGGAGAGTTTCCTGCGCTGTCGAGGGTACAAGTTTCGTTTGGTCCGCGAAATCTGCAGTCAGCTTTGAAAACACGAGCTCCTTAATCATGGATGACATGTCGCCCTGTTTCCTGTAGACGTCCACGCACGACAGGTAGTCCGCAGCAGTTCGGTCACTTCCATAAAAGGGGCCACCGGCTGCGAGCCTCGCTTCTTCTTTCATAATACGATACTTGACGAAGTTGGATACCTTCGCCTGCGAAGCGTAATGATCCAATACGCAAATCAAAATGTGTGATGACGCTTGTGATGACACATATCTAATCTGGACGCTTCAAGGCGTGCAGACAAGATATAAGTTGCGTTTATATTTTCACTGCAGCCCAAATTGGTTGAAATAATAATTCGTTGTAATCTAAGAGGAAAGTAAAAATAAATGCTAAATCTGTTCGCTGTGCATATTTACAGGTCACATGATTGGCGGTATTAAGTAACCAGTGGCAGACGAAGTAACAGGGAAAGTGATTGTGAATGTGAACCTAGCTTCTGAAGTCACAAGTGCTTGAATATGACATATTGTTCCCGAATTAGGGTCACCTTATTAGCCGTTCGTTTTTAACATGAAAATGTTTTATGTCAGGATCCATCATGGCTCTACTGACATATTGCCGGCACATACATAACTGCAAAATAAAATCTAGCTGAATGCAAAAAATATGAAAAAAACATCGGTCAGCAGGAGTTTTAACTTTCGCTTCGTTGCGCACTGCACGAAACAAGTTGGCCACTAACCGTACGGGTGCTCCAAAAGTGAAAATGCGCACGTGAGATGCTACCAAACTACACAAAAGTGAATGTCAGCGCGCTCCGTCAGAAAAAGTGGTTATCTTTATGCAGAAATGAGCCAGAGGATAGTCCTATCGTTTCCGTATGAGAATACATAACCATTTCTATGAAGGAGCGTGCTGGCAGGCATTCGCTTTTTCGTAGCTTGACCACAGTTTGCATGTTTCATTTTACTCTAGAAGCTATTTTACGTTCCTCGTAATGCCAAAGCCGAGTTATTTATAAAGCTTCCTTTGGGCCAAGTTGGTAAACATTCCTGAATTATTATTAACAGTGCGAACTAAATTAACAGCGCAAAGTTTGCCATTTATTTTTTCTGTTGGCGGTGTTTTGTGTTTGCGCTGTTAATTTTAGTTCGTGAGGTATTTATATGCATCTTTTACAGCTGTGGCACTCACGGCTCAGTGCCTTCAGCATGTTCTCTTTCTGACTAGCAAGATGCCACGAAGAGTGTGCTTTAAGGTCGTCGCTCCGCGCGTTCCAAATTGCGCGCTTATCTCTTGATCGGGACAGTTTGTACGTCTTGTGCTGGCGTTTAATATCCGGTCAGCCAAAACGTCACTTCATTCACCCCAGCGGCTGCAAAGAGCGCGCTTCTCAGACATGGAAACGCAGCAGTTTGCGCTCGCCCGCCAATTTTAACTTAGGTGTAGGTGAAACAAGTCGAAGTTGCCCAATTTCCAGTGCAGTTCACTACAGTGTCTCTCATAAGTGTATCGCGATTTTAGATCGTTAAACATAATATCTTAAACATTATTTCGATGACCAGTTCAAACTCGTCCTGCGTGTACTTGTGGGCTCGTTCCGTGCGCGCTACTTCCTGTAAGAGCAGCACAATTGAAAGGTTGAGCCATTACGCTTGCTATTGAGCGTGACCTTTCTGCTTACAGAGTGAGCTGCAAGTCTCGAGCAGCTTGCCGTTCATCCCTTGGCATGAAATATTATTGCTATAGCATTGACTCTTTGGAACTTGTGGCAAAACAGTGCAAAATCAACGCTAAACTGCCTTTGTGAAGACACGTTTCCCTTACGGGTTATGCCGATTCTAACAACAAAGGGATCAGCCATGTACCTTTTTTATTCTAGTGTGCGTGATTCAAAACACACCTGAAAGTTCTGCACTAACTGCCCTCTATAAAGGGCTGATCCTTTACCACTAAAAATAGGAGGGTCCGTACTGTCTTACCATTAGCTGACCCCTTATTACCAAAACACTCGGGTGTCAATACAGCCTGACCAATATTTCTTCAGGCCCTTCAAATTAACTGTGTGAATACTGCCGGATCAGCTGTTTGTGTTGTTATCAATGTTTCTAATTTTGATGACTGCTGACAACAAAATGGCAGATAATGGAGCAGAAATGAGTTCTGTCGCTACAAAGATTCGCTTGCTACATACACTATGGGGATTTCTTGGCGCCTCTTAAAGGTCTTGTCATACACTACGACCTGCTCATGAAAATTATAGGACAAACAAAACACCGATATCCCATTTAAACCGTGTCAACTCACTCATATATTTTGTTTATCGTTCACACAGTTTCGTGAATGGGTTTAACCAGCCGAGTTCCAGCATCCGGCTATAATTTGCTGGGTGCGGGCCCCGAACCACCATCACCATCATCTTCATAATTGTCATTTTCTGCCTATGGATATGTTCACTGCAGGGTGAAGGCATCTCAGAATAATCTAGATATTACCGCATCCTGGGTGGGCTGATTCTGTTTTATCATTGTGAAATTATGAATTTTGTTTCCTCATCTAACTCTATGCCTCCATATACTGCATTTTCTATCCCCTGATAAGGTTTCGTTGCCGTTACTATCCAGATTTTATCGGTCCTACTCCTACGCATCACGTGACGAGCCCAACTTCAGAAGTGTTGAATATTGCGTGAGTTGGTTTGTCGTACTTGAACTGGTATAGCACATTACGGCAAAGAAGAAACAGCTGAGCAGACCGACACAACGGGACAGAGCACAGTACCGGCACACGAGGACAAAGCGCTTTGTTGTAATGCACTACATACTGATTCAAGAGACGACGTCACGTGATAAATAAGTCGACGAAGCCTTACCTCAAGCAGGTCAAACTGGTTCGCGAATCCCTTGTGCTGCTCGCCCCACAGGCCGCATGCGTACTCGTAGAAGTTTGAGCAAGGGTCCACCGACAAGTTCATGGACGTGTACAGCTCCTGGTCAAGCTGGAAGCAGCTCAGGTTGAGGCAGGGCTCGATGAGCTCCGAGAAAGGTGACCTCGCTGGCGCGGTGATCAGGATGTACGCGACCACGATGGCAATCACACTCACCTCGAACACGAGCACGGCCAGGGCGTTCGCCGAGAGGAGAAGCTCATCCCTGGGAAGCTCAACCTCGTCCTGGGTGAAAAAGAAATGTAGGCAGCTAGTACCATAGTGGTGCAAGGCTGGACTGACTGCGGAGCTTATGGATGACATGGAATAGTATATTAAAGGGCCAGTCAACAGGCTCCGAGGACTCGCTCCCTGGATTCCGTGCTGACCGATTGTGCCCTCACGATCTCCGACGTCAGCGAAGCTCTCGAAGACTCGATTAGCTCTAAGCCATCTCCTGTCGCCGACAAGAGCTCTCGCAAGTGCTGCCCTGTCCTCGCACTCCTGTGACCATATTTCCATCTTTCCTATCTCTCCTATCCCTCTTATGTCATCGCTCGCTGTCCTAGCGCATCTCTCTCTATATATATACCTTTAATCCTATCCTTTTAATCCCTCCTCACCGCCATCTCTTATGAGCTACTGTTGAGGTGTCGCACGCTGATGCAGACAGTTAAGGGGCTCACTTTTCTCTTCTTTTTCCACTTATAACCACAATCTTTCTCTCTCTTAGGCTCCGATTTTTTTTTTACATTCCCCAAACAAGCTCGCGCATGTTTCTAAGCGTAACCAGCCTCCTTCAATGTGCAGTGACGTCAGCTTGGCGATCAGTGACGCGACGCAGCACGCAGCTTGTCGATTTTTCTAAACTAGGTCTCAACAAACAGTAATGAAGTCAACTTCGCCGATCGCCGACTCGACGCCACTGTGCGTGGAAGGAAGTTCGTCAGGCCTATATAGGGAAGAAGCGCGAGCTTGTTTGGAAGGTGTAAAAAAAAAGTGTCGGAGCCTGTTGACTGGCCCCTTATTTAGCAATAAAGATTAGCCAAACTTCAATTTATATTTACCGTTGTTTATTGATTGATTGATTGATTGATTGATATGTGGTGTTTAACGTCCCAAAACCACCATGTGTATATGAGAGACGCCGTAGTGGAGCGTTGTTTTATTCCGCTATGCATTAGCAAGAGCATAATTATCGTGATCTTGGCCTGATATTTAAGAGCATAACCCTTTATAGTGTAATCAGGTGCTAGGCGATGAGAGACGCCATGTCAACTAGAGGAATAGTTTTCTGGCGGCGTAGAGCTGTGGAACAGAAAGATTACATAACTCCGCTGGTAAAGGAGAGGCTACATTTCTTGAACAAAGGAACATGCGACCATAGGCGTCCGCACAAGGTCAGGGTGGATGCTTAGCTCTCTAACCTTCGTATTCACAAACCAATCTTAAACTTATCCTTATGACCTAAGTCAACCTTAGCCTTAAGTCTGCTGTTTACGCGTTTCAAGAAGCTACCTTGTACTTCTCGCGGAACTTCCTCGTACTCAAGTAAGGCTCTGTTAATGCAGAGTGGGATCTGCCATAAGGCTTCCTTAAACACCATGCCGGAAGACGACAACTTTGCACAAGTCGTTGATTATATCGGCCACAAACAAATATTGAACATCACAGCGTGCGCATACACGTCACCACCGCGCTGATTTCTCAACGATCAATAGAACCTGGTTCAGACCTACGACAAGCATGAATTTTTGTGCCGCCCCCGCTTCCCAAAAAGTGCCGTGAAGAATCTGTTTGCTTTATTGTTTCTGCAGAAAAATATCCATGGCCGTGGTTTCACAGTGCCCCGTCTCATGCCGCTGCTTATCGCATCGCGCTTTGATGTAGTAGGCACGTTTCAATTTGGGAGCGATGGCCTTTGCAGCGGAAGTGCACGCAAACGCTCACGGAAAGTAGTGTCCCTGCTGCAAGCAGCGTTTTGAGTTGCAACAAGCCCATAAAATTATTAAATATGAAGGTTAGGAATCTGCTTGCGTAGTTTATGCAGGTCCATGCAGCCCGAAAAACAGTGAACGCGTTGTATAAGTTGTGTTCGTTATCTGAGGCGGACAAGATGATATCAAGCTGACCTCGTTGGAACAACAACCGCCACTTACTCTGTCCGCGCCTTCTTTCTCAGTCTTGACTTCTTCGGGCTTTACATCCCCGGGCTTGACCTCTTCGGGTTTGCCATCCCCGGGTTGCTTTGCATCCTTGGCTTCCATGTCGTCGAGCGCAAAGACAAAAGGAAAGCGCCTTAGGAAATTTCGTTGGAATGCCACCCTTTACTTCTTCACAGCGCGCGCACGTGCCAGCTGACGCTGGTATTGTCTTTTTCACGTAGAAAACTAGAGATGACGAAATCGCGGAGTGCACTGTACATATTTTGTTTCAAAAGCAGAGCTGTTTAAGCCGCAGTAATACCTATGTTGTATCAAGATATCAAAATTCATAAACGAATGACGAAATGTCCACTGAACAAAAATAAGGCAACATTCAGCCTAACAATTGGGTATGTGCCACTGAAATTGCGTAAATCTCAATACTTTCCGCTGGCCCACTAAAGAGTATATTAGGAAGCAACCCAACATTTGGGAGCGGGAGAGGTACACCGGTGGCTGCAAGAACACCCCGAATCTATTGCAGGCCTACGCCACCGCTAACGTGCACGAAGGTCTATGAAAGGTACAAACGCTTGGTTTCTGAGCGAGATTTGAAGTATAGGGCTTCATCATTCTGTACAGAAACTCACAAATACATTTATCCAGCCCGATAGCAAGGGAAGACTATTTTTCGGTCCAGCGTTAAAGATCAAACAAGCTCAGTTGCACAGTGTAGCAGGATGGCATTCATAACATCATAGTTAAAACAAATATTATAATCATCATTAACAAGTTTTTTTGCTAATGTACGCCTAGGTAGTCAATACAGGTGTAATAGGTGTCTTCGCACGCAATAGAAAAGCGTTTACAGGATTGAAGTTCACATTTTAGTTTCTCAATTGGACATCTATGTCGTATCGGCGACTGTACGGGAGGCAGGAAAGCGTGGTCTCAGCGCAAGTTCGCCTCGTGAGTTTGGACGTAACTCCAAGTCTCTGACTCTGGTTTAATTCTAATCTCTCTTCGCTGAAAATCAACGTGGATACAACCTAGCATAACCTAGCTAAACCTTAGCAAAAACTTATGGTCCACTAGGTGTCAGCTCCGTATTCTGAAGAAACCTAGGAACAACCACGATCACAAATCCAAGGCCTAGGAACAAACCAAAAGCAACCCGATCACTCTTTAGAATCATCCAGTTTTGTTCTTTCAGCGGTAGCGTGGCTTAGTGCTTAGTTCGAGCTTTTTCAATTTCCTTGGGCGTGACATGCAGTAGTACAGTTGTGTACAGATGGTGATTGTAACAGCTTGTGAGGTAAGTAAACGATCACAATATGTGAAAGAGAACGTGTGAGCGCGTGGCCTGCACTCTGGCGCGGCTGCCTAAGCGCCATCAAGAGGCAAATAAAGAAATGCAAGTCAGCGTTTGGGTGCACCACGCGTTGCGATATTGGTATCGGAGAGGAAGCCTAGTTTTGTAGCGCATGTGCAACGGCCGTGACTCATTGTTTTGTTTACTAAATGAGACTGAAAGCGGATGAGCTTTCTTGAGTTGTGGACGAATAGCGCCGTAAACAACTGACGCAGAGCACATGACAAGCAACCACCTTTTTGTGTTTTTTATATAAAGATTGGCAGAGTACATCTGTGCATACACTCAAAGTAAAATGGAGCATCCGCTGCATCAGCTTCTATGATAACACGAATATCTGATCGTATCACCAGTACATTGCTTTAACGTTTTAGGATCACTGCAGTGTAGAGCCCTCATTCCAAGCACCAGCGCGTCCACGTCTGCGTACAATCAAAGCCACAAAGGGTGAAAACCACTACGGCGTCTGTCATACTCATATGGTGGTTTTAGGACGTTAAACCCCACATATTATTCAATACAAAGGGTGAAAAGGGGTACGTGGTTTATCCTTTTTAGGGGCAACTGCATTTCCACACAACCATTACTCCCCAAAAGATGAACGATTTGTCATATAGGGAGTAACTTTCTGGGGATGAACTGTTTAGTCCTCGGTAGTTTTGAGGGACGAAATTTCAAGAAGTACAAGTTACCCCTTCATGGGAGGAAGTGACTGCGTAGAGACGAACAGTTAGTCCAATCAGTTGGAGCAACTTCTCGAAGAAAAAGCAATTATTTATTACAATTTAAGGTTCAATTAGCGAGAACTTAGAGTTTGATGAATGCATCTTACCACATTTACAATCAATACACAAGAAATAAATTCAGATATGAAGTAAATAGAAATGCCCAACTAATAGCTAGGATTCGAACTCGTGACCATTGGACCAGCAGTCACGTGCGCTAACCACTATAACACATCACAGTTCATAGCAAAGGGAAAATTACCGGGGAATAGGTAGGCACCATCTGGACGTTGCGCATTATGTCATGTGACTCAAACTAGGAATATTCCTTAAATTGGACTTAATTCTTCAGTGTTTGGCAAGCAACCATTCAGTGATGACATTTGTGTGGATGTAAAATGCGTTAAATAGGTATTCCTGCACGCGGAAATTGAGCGCATTTGTGTGCCTGATGAGTGTATGTACAAAAGTTCCCATACTTGAAGCCGTCACTGTGTCAGGTGTGCTCGTTTCTTACGCGTACAGAGCGTGGTTGGTGATGTCGTTCAGCAAAAATGTCTGCTCAACGAAAAAGAAAAAAAATTCGCAGCATGGCAGCATACCCAAGGAGTGAATGATGGAGAGTGGGGCGAAGCATTCGTCCGTCCATTCGTTCTTGCTTCAGTCCGTCCATGCGTCCGTCTGTGTAACCGTCCGTGCGTCAATCCGCCCGTCCGTGCGTGCGTCTGTTCGTGTGTTTGTCCCTGCGTTCGTCCATGCATCCGCCCCTGCGTCCGTTCATGCGTCCATCCATGCATCTGTCTGTGTGTCCATTCGTCCATATATTCAACACTCCAAGTACCACCATCGCGCATGTTTTCATCATATATTCCCCATATAGAAGCACCGCCATCCAGCGGACATTCAAAGGACTAAACGAAAGGTGGCACACGCACACTATCTTACGGCTTGCGCTTCGGGTCTACCTCCCACCTTTAACCACCTCGAGTTCATGGTATATACTAGGTCACTGTATTCATGGCACTGCGACCCAACGCTCGCTAAACCTTTCTAAAGCCAAGGAGGTTATGCCCAGCGAGTATAACGTAGCAACCTTTTCCTGTGAGATAGTGCTCAATGTACATGCCAATGGCTGCTAATGGCAATTGAGAGGCAGGAGAATGCGGCTTTTACTTTTTTACGGCTTGCGCTTCATATCTACTTCCCACGTTTAACCACCTCGAGTTCATGGTATATACTAGTTCATTGTATTCATGGCACTGCGGCTGAACGCTCGCTAAACCGTTTTAAAACTAATGAGGTTACACCCAGCGAGTATAACGTAGCAACCTTTTCTTGTCAGATAGTGCTCAATGTATTTGCCAATGGCTTCTAATGGGAATTGCAGCGTGCGCATTAACTAAAAGCTGAATGCTCTTGTCTCTCATTTCCCATTAGCAGCCATTGGCATCTACATTGAGCACTACTTTTTATTGTTCCACAATGCACAGAAGAAATCTCGCACCGGCACCACCTTGGAGGTCAAAATGTTATACTTGTTGCACACTACAACGGCTACAAGGGACGAACATGTGCCGCTATAAAGAGCTTCGCCCCTAAAAATGAACACGTTTAAAGAAACAGCCAAGTTAGTTTTGTGACTTGTGTCAATTCTGCACCATCGTGCGCACACATCAATTCGGCAACTTTTAAGATTACAAAAAAAAAATGCTAGCTTCCCTGCCCTCTAGGAGAGACAATAAAAGATACGTTTTATTGAAATGGATGATGTCCAGCCGACTTCACCAAGGGCACTCGCACCATCGATTGATTGATATGTGAGGTTTAACGTCCCAAAACCACCATATATATGAGAGACGACGCAGTGGAGGACTCCGAAAATTTCGACTAGCTGGGGTTGTTTAACGTGCACCCAAATATGAGCACACGGGACTTTTTAGAACATTTCCACCTCCATCGGGAAAGCAGCCGCCACAGCCGGAATTCCATCCAGCGACTTCCGAAATAGCAGCCACGAGACCACCGCGGTGGGGCGGCACTCGCACCATAGACAGCTTGCAAGTGTCTTCGTATAGCTGCATACGAAGATTACTATTGTTTCAACATGTATCAAAACGCTCGAACATATCATATTTAAGCACATTTCGCAATTTCTTGAGAGCAATTGCATTCTGAACGCCCGACAGCATGGCTTCCGCCGGGGACGGTCCACTGTAACTCAGCTTCTGGAAACGGCTCACGACTTCGCTGCAACACTGTACAAACGGGGGCAAGTGGACGTCATATTCTTAGATTTCGAGAAGGCGTTTGACCGTGTGTCGCACTCAAAATTGCTGAGTAAATTGACGGCCATTTCGAAAAATGAAACTTTAGTGGCATGGATAATCATACCTTTCCTACAGGCAACAGAGCGTAGCCGTTAACGGCGCATGTTCTGTGGCCTCGCCAGTACTTTCGGGCGTCCCACAGGGCTCTGTTCTCAGGCCACTCTTCTTTCTCGTTTTTATTAACGATATTGTACATGACATACCGGTAAAAATTAAACTTTTCGCAGATGACTGCGTTCTTTACAATGAAATCTGCAACCATAACGATCAGGCCGTCTTAAACGCGTCACTTGAAAATATACAAACATGGTGTACTAGGTGGCAGATGACTATTAATTACAAAAAAAAAAAACTGTTTCAATGACCATTACATGCAAAAAGGCCCCGTTGAAGCACACGTACCAAATAAACAATCATAGTCTAGCTGAAGTATCATGCTTCAAATATTTAGGAGTTTTAATCACATCCGATCTGAAATGAAACGAGCACGTCACGTACATTCAGAAAAAGGCAATGCGAAAACTGGGATACTTAAGGAGAATGTTACCGAAAGCTTCTCAGGATACCAAACTGCTAGCTTACAAAACTTACATCAGACCACTATTAGAATATGCTTCAATTATCTGGGACCCATACACTCTAGTTAATACCAATAAGCTTGAGAGCATACAAAGAAAAGCCGCGCGATTTGTTTACAGT